ATCGCCCGTTTCTCTGCTTTTGTAGCAAGACCGGTCTATGTTTCAGTTTGACGCACGCGTAAAAGGAACTCTCAGCTGTCAGAAGAGGCAGGGAAATTTAAACCGTGGATGGGGTTGGATCGACTCGGACGCCGTTGACAAATATTGGACAGCTCAAGAAATCGGCAGGGTGGAGGAAAAATATTTTCATCACCCTTCGCTTCATCTGACGACCTTGGAAGATATTACCCAGATGTGAGGTCAGAAGCACGAATTTGACTTGACCTTCCGAATTAAGTAGGTGAATAACCCCTTTTAGCGATTTGTTACTTGTGAGCACTAAATACGATGATGCTACTGTCTCATTCTCATCCTGTCGATCGTAGGATTAATATTAAATTCTCTCTCTGCTTTTCTATTTCAGCTATGATCCATACGGGGACTCGGTAACATGCTCGAGGTTTCCATAAATTTCGAGGACCTCTGGAGTCCCGATCTAACCCTAACCTCGCCTTCCCGGCGGGTCTGTTTCCGCTCATTTCGCCACCTGCCTGCCTGACAGCTGCTTCAATATAACGGCCATAAGGCGACCCAATGCCCGGCATTTGTACGACATGCGCGCGTTTGAGAGAAGACCATACGACATAGATAGATATAGCATACGGCTGGGCCATCGAACGTCACGGGCTCGCGAGTTGAATATCAATCCGCGAGTGACGGAGGTATTTAATGAGTTTGGTTCCGAGACAGTGACAGGTAATAGTCCATATCCTGGCATAGGGGCTCTACCCCGTGGCTCCTAGGCCTCATCGATGAGCGATATGCATGGCCCCGTTCCTGAGTGCGATATCTTCATACGCGTGTACCGTCGCAGTCTGATCGACGAGGGTTCCCTGCATGCGTCAAAGTGAGCCTCACCGATATGAACGGTCACGATTCATAGACCAGATAGCTCCGTCCTCAAGTCTTCATGTGCGTTTGTACCTATGTGCCATCCCCGACTCTACAATCGTGACCCGATGACTTTGTTTCTCGACATCTTGCAGGCGCCAAAGGGAGCCTCACCAACACGAAGGTCATAACCGCCGAGTCCCGATCTGATTCATATTGACCTTTCCCGTTGCATAAAGTACCCGATCCAAGCCCGATTATGTGTGTTCTCGCCTTCCACCCTCGTGCCACAAGCCCACCTTTCATCTGGCAGTTGCGTGCTGTCGTGCGCCGAACTGTAGCGTCTTAACACTCTCCCCGCCCCTCAGGCCTCAGGACAAAGATACATCAGCATTCTGCCCCGATCTCATACATATACATTCGGGCATGTGCCACAAGCCCACCTTTCATCTGGCAGTTACGTGCAGTCGTACGCTCGAACTGCAGCGTCCTCAACTCTCTCCCCGCCCCTCCGGCGCTACTTAAACTTGAAATGCACCCTGCTCACCCCTCGCCAGGATAAAGATAGGTCGGCATCCTGCTCCGGTCTCATACATATACGTTGGGCATCTTGATATCGGGGAGACCTTGCTCTGAGTCGGACGTGGAGTATTATGAGAAAATACTGCTAAGAGCAAAAGGAAAAAGCGGGGCAAGATGCTCGGATTTCAGATATATTAATATTTATTGTGGCGTCCGTAGGACCAAACAAAGGAACGATCAATTTCAGCCACAAACAAACTTGATATGCATCGTGTCTAGCTATAGCCTCCGGTCTGGTCTGCGCGACGTTCACTGTCACTGGTACTTTAAATATAGGTAGGAGGCCCGATATCACCAAGTGAGCGAATCTTCCCCGGAACACGAGGACGCTATCAACTTCTCCCACCGTTTTTTATAGTCCGTCAGGCTTTGGGCGTATCGTCAGCCTTGGGTGTATACATCGTCCATCTGCTTCAGCTCTTAGGTGCACAAGGTTCGAGCTTCGAGCTGAAATTCGGGACTACCATGTCTCACCGCCCGTACCACGCGAAGCCTGCGCCGCACTCGGAGGACGCGCAGCCCAACGAGGGCGTCGAGAGCCGGCGGGGCGTGCCGCTGATAGTGTCGAGGGCGCCGGTGAGGCAGCGGGATGCGGGGTGGGCGGGGCGGGGTGGAGGAGGGAGAGGTGCGAGTCCCACCAATGTAAGAGGGAGAGGTGGAAGGGGGTGGGGCGGGGCCAGCGCGAGGAGCCCGGGGATGCCGATGAGCCCGCCGAGCAGCCAGAGCGCGGAGAGGACGATGACGATGCCGGAGGTCTGGTTGTCGCAGGGCCGGCGAGCTTCGCAGAGTCCTATTCGCAGTCCGCGCGAGGCGAAGGCGAGTTCGTGTGCTCATCCATCTGCAAGCTCGAGTGCGGCGTCCAGTACTGTGCTTGCCAGGAAGGACGCGTCCCCGAAGCTCCCGTCGCCGCCCTTTACGCCTGAGACGACGCCCAACCTTCATCCGGGCCTGCTTTCCGAGGTGGAGAGGGCGGCCAAGCGGAAGGCGTCCCTGGACCTCATACGTGCAGAGGCGGCGAAGAGGCGCAAGCTGGGCGGGCTGTCTCCGCTACCTGCGCCGCTGGTGGTTGTGAAAGAAGAAGCGTCGCCGCTGTCTGTGCGAGTGAAAGAGGAGCCTGTCGGTTCTGTCCTGCAGCCGCCTGCGTCTGTGAAGCAAGAGCAAGAGAGTGTCAACTTACCCTCGGAGGCGTTATTGCCGTCTGCTTCGCCGCCGAGAGAAACACAGGTGACCATCAAACCGGACCCCGAGCCTGTACCTGTCCAGCCCGACTCGTCTTGTCCTGCCATTCCCTGCGTACCCTCTGAGCCTGAGAGCCGGCTGACCACCTCCGGGTCCGTGCGCGTGCATCCCATCCCGGATTCGTGCCTCAAGACGAGCGCGCACTGGAAGCGGAACAGGGAGAAGTGGGTGAAGAGCGAGGTCGCGAAGGTCCTGAAGAAGGGCAAGAACGTGCGGTTCGAGCGGGCGCTCCTTAGGTGTGTCGTCTGTGCTGTGTGCGGGATGCTGACGTGCTGAGCGGAGAAGGGATGATGGGTTGGTTATAGACTGGTGAGTGTTGTTTTTGTTGCGGTTTTTCCTTTTTTTCGTGGTGGATATATATTCATGGTTTGCCGCAGGATAAGCCTCACGCCTGTCCGCTCCGAGACGCTCCTCCCGCCCTCACCCGGACCTCCCGCTCGTCCCGCAACTCAACCCACTCCTGCTGACCCCCAACCTTACTCCACCTCCTCCTCACCCCGACTTCCTGAACCGCGGCAATCCTCGATTTCTCCGCCGCCCAAACACGCGCCCCATCGCCTTCACCTCCCGCGCCGGTCTTCGTCTCCCATGCCTTCTTCGCCGAGCCCGTTCACGCTGTCCCAGGCGCCCTCCGTACCACCGAGACAGCACAGTCGAGGTAGGCTGTCTCTTGGGGAGCTGAGGGCGGCCGTGAGGGCGAGGCGGGAGATGGAGAGGGAGGTTGTTGTGATTGATGAGGATGATGGACAGGCGGGTGAGGACTCAGGAAAGGGTGTGAGTTGTTTTTTCGAGAATGTGATCATCTATCTATCTATGGTTCTGATGTCTGAATCAGTCTAGGAGTTTGTCGAAGGTCCCCGAACCTCTGTCGACTGCGATAGTATCGCCACGCCAACCTGCAGGAGGTGCTTCACAGGACTTGCGGGTGGTTACGACTGCTTCGCATCTCCCTGGCTCGGACCTTGATAATTACGCGCAAACTGGCTCGTCAGCCTCGGATCCCATTGCATCAGCGCCGGTGCCCACTGAATCAACGGTGCCGTCTTCGGACGATGAGTCTTGGGAAGATGTCATGCAGGTTGAGGGTGAGTTGGTGTATTTTGAAGAACAAGCGACTCTGTCGACCAGGGCGGACTGGGCGGATGATCGAGCGGGGAGCGCGGTTGACACGCCCTGCCTTGAAACTACTGTTCTTCAGCCACAGGATAAGGAAAAGGACATTGATGTTTACGCGGGGGCGGTCGCATCGGATGCCCCGGCTCTGGACGCTGTGGCAGATAATATGGACCTTCAACCCGGTGCTCCAGTACCTACCCAAATGTCTGAACCTGGGTCAGCGACAAACGCCGGACATCTCCAGGCAAGTACAGACCCGCCCGCGCCAGACGTTCGCCCATTGAGAGAAGAAGGTGCCATCCGAGACTTACCGCACGAGATCATGCGCCTAGCGGAGGAGTTTATAACGCAGTAAGTGCGCAGCTTTGTTGTTTTAGGCCTGATCATTGTTGTAATAATAGTCCGTGTTCGCTTTTGTTATTCTAGGTATGTGCGGCTCTTTGACTCTGATAGATCAGCTCTGGCGAGCGCATATGCGAGTAACGCGTTGTTCTCGTATCGGATAAACCCGTCCTTGCGACGTACCACTGGCAAGTACCCCCCTTTTGCGTCAACGGCAGGATCAAGAGATGTATTGGGTGAGGCTATTTCTTCTTCCGATTATGTACATTATACTGAAAGAAGTCTACTCAGGCTCGAACGCACTCACCGCTCTCCACACCTCCCGACTAGACATCCTCGACACCCTCTTATCCTTCAACGACTCGTACAAGTTCATAGCCGACGGCGAGGCGGTCGACATGTCCTCCGATACGACGTGCATAAGGATGGGGGCTGGTGCTGAGGGCGAGAGCAGCGACGTGGTGCTTATTGTGTGTGACACGACGCTTCGATATTGTGGGGTCCAGAGAAGTCCGAGTCGCCGCGGTGATGGGGACATTGGGATAGACATGACGTTTGCGCTGAGGCGGAAGGAGGTGGGTGGGGCGGACCGGTGCGTTTTCGGAGATTGTTTCTGTTGTTGTTACTAATAGTCTGGTTTCGCAGGGACACAAGCGGGCTCTGGCCACTCGTCGTAGTTTCTCATCAGATGACGGTCAGGGATCTAAGTTCATAATTTGCTGTGCAGAATATATTGAAATCATGTACACTCGAATTGCGCTCAATGTTGTAGTTATAGCCTGTTTCGACCTTCGCACACAGACCAACTCGGAGGGATACAGCCAAAAAAAAACTCCCATCACGAAAATACATGAACCGACCCAGACTTGAACTGAGGACCACCTGTGAACATCCAGTGTTAGACAGGTGTGATAACCAACTACACCATCGGTCCCAAAGGAATGAATTATATTATAATCATATTACAAATCCTGTTGATAATGGGTTCGTTCGGACGACGCGCCGGCTGCTGCAACCGTTTAGGATATGACACTTCCGCTTTTGACATTGAACTGCCAAAATCGCGCGCGCAATGACGAAAACAACCGATGCCCAGCGCCTCGACGGAAGTACTGTCGCCATGTCAGGAACTCGGCTCTGCCTTGCAGTCTGTACACTTAGCCTGATACTGTCCTTTCTTGCAGGTATCGATAGGCCATATATACTCCCGCCACAGTCATAGGCCTTGCTCGACAGTGTTTGCACAATATCTCTGTCTTAGGTTTCATTCACCGATCTAGCTTGTTTTCCTGACGCCGATACGAGGGATGAGCCATATACCACAGGACGACGATAAGCAAGTGGCCGGCGACGACCCAGCGCTCCAGCCGCTTTTACCCTCGTCGGAGAACCATCAGGAGAGCGATGGACACTCTTATGTTACGCAATCGGGGTTCAAGAGACTATCGGCGATAGACAAGAAGACACTGTTATTGACGACCACCATGGATAAGATGGGCATGGGACGATATTCCGTCAGTGCAGGTCTCTTTGCTGAGATCTGCGTAGCCTCCGAGAGACAATAGCATGCTAACGCTCTTTTCATAGTGGTACATCTTCTTCGTAAGTCTAAAAGTATCTCAAGAGGCCACGAATAGACTAAGAGACGCATCACACCACAGTTATGTGGATACGGCTACGCCCTTGATTTGATGTGGGCGCAAGCCTTCGGGCTGATAGTCAGCTCGGCACAGCAGGAATTTGGCATACCGGGTGACTATGTGCGCCCATTTGACCTCCACGACCTTATTAACGACTCCTCGCAGATTCTCAGTTTGGCACACTCCTTACAGCGTTCAACATCGGCCTCACGATAGGCGCCTTCAGCTGGGGCATCATCGGTGACATAGTACACCTTTTCCATGAAATGTACTAGGATTTGCAACTGATTACACCTTGTACAGTTCGGCCGTAAATGGGCGTTCAACCTCACCGTCCTCATCACAGGCTTCTGGGGCTTGTTACTAGGTTCGGCCCCCAGCTGGCCCTGGCTTTGCTTTCTCTCCATCTTCACGGGTTTCGGGATCGGTGGCAATATACCCACTGACGCGAGCATCGTGCATGAGTTCTTGCCACACGTCCGTCCGTCTCTTGTATCACCTCTTCCCGATACAAAATAACCCTTTAATAGGATCGCAAGTACCTACTAGCTGCCTTATCACTCTTCCAACCGTTGGGTGTGGTTATATGCTCCGTCATAGCTTGGGGATTCATACCCTCAAATAGTTGCGAGCCTGGATTGAAGTCGTGCAATATTACTGCCCCAGGGGTACAGTGTTGCGCCAGGGACGATAATCTTGGGTGGAGGTTTACTACGTGAGTGGCTGGAAAGTACCTAATGGATCCCACTTATTTAGACATGACAGGAATATAATAGGGGCTATCACGCTGTTCTGTTTCTTCCTTCGCTTTGTCGTCTTTAATTTCCAGGTACGCGCACACAGAGCACATATATCCACCCAAAACATTGACCCCTGGCTATATATCTGCAGGAAAGTCCTAAATTCCTCCTTCTCCAAGGCCGTGAACAAGAGGCTGTCAACGTGATCCAGCATATTGCCAAGGTAAACCGCCAGCCGTGCTCACTCACCATCGACGACATATGTGTGCTTGATGGTCAGTTTTGTTAGCTTCCTTACTTGGCTACTTGCGGAGCCTCATACTACATCAGGTGACGACACATCCGAGTCTTCTGCCAAATCCGGAGAACCGAAGACGTGGGCGGAACTGACCAGCCAGTTCAAGGTGTTTTTTGAGACGCCGTATATGATGCGGTTGTCGCTTGCAATTTGGGCTACGTTTATCTTCGATTATGCGGCATTCTCTATTGGTGAGTGTACACCCGCCCTCTCATTCGCACCCAAGACACTGATCGACTGTCGACCAGCCGGTGGATTCTTACCGGATATCTTGAGGAGAAAGGGTGTGGCTGCTGGGCAGTCAGTGGACATTACATATCGGAACTAGTACGTGCCTTGATGTGCCCCTTGTGAGTGAACTAAAAGAGGATCAGCATAATCATCTACGCTCCGGGTATTCTGGGTGTGGTACTGGGTGCACTTGTCATACAAACCAAGACACTCGGAAAGACCTGGTCGATGACTATTTCTGCTAGCTTGATGGCGGCGTCGTTGTTCGCTTTTGTGTACATTGTGAGTAAACTAGGAAGCTTCTGTATGAGCGTTCGGCTGACGTAGACATTAGGACTCGCCGGGGGCGAATGTCGGGTTTAATGCCATGGAGTATTTCTTCCAATCTATGTACGTTAAATATTCTGATTACTCTACTCGGCTGAATAACCTCGGGCAAAGGTTTAACGCGATCTTGTATGGATACACGCCCGAAGCTTTCCCAGCCGCCGTGCGGGGTTCTGCCTGTGGCATCGCTAGCACCTGGGGTCGCCTTTCGTCTATTATTGCGCCTCTGATCGCGACCAGACTACTGGCAACGAGCGTCGACGGTGTACTTTATCTCGCTGGAGGGGCAGCAGTGCTGTCCGCGGTGGTGACGCTCTTCTTGCCCGAGAAGCTGAAGAACGAAGGATTTTGAACTGGTAACTATGTGGGCGCGAGTCGAAGATTGTACGTGTAAGACCAGGTGTTCGTGGATCGGTTGTGAGTAGTCGTAGTTTGAGTTATGATTCCCGAATCACCGTGTGGTTTATGTATTTCTATAATCTAGAATCCGTGTAGAGTCTTGTACGTGCCGTTTAGTATAGACTTCCCTTGATTCGTAGGTCACTTGCCCTTTTGAACGAGCAATAATAATAATCGCTGTCTCGTAAGCGTACGCCCGAACGTCTCAACCTAGAATTGCCTGGTGCAGCTCGACGGCAAGAAACTTGGTAGGATTGGGGGTTTGGCGTTATTAGTCCGTTAGGGGCTGTTTCTCTTTCTGGTGTAAAATGATGATGATCGGGCTTCTGGTTCCGTTCGCTGGCATTCAAGTTGCGGGGGGTAGCATAATTAGGTTGTATCCGGCGGCCTAGGCACTTGATCCAATATGCCACGGCACTATACACACGGCCAGTGCCATCGGTCGGAATCCTCTTTCCCCTGTACATTCTTGTACGTTCCCTGGTAGCCTAATTTACCCTTGTAATGAGCTGTAAGTCATGCGATGGCTTCCGAGTTTCCGTTGGAGGTTTTGGCGGTATGACCGACACCGCCGAGTGAACGTGTTTTCTGTCCACTGCATTACCAGGGTCTGTATTCAATACACCGGCAAAACTCGATTGGAAGCTTCCGCTGTGCTCTATCAGACTGTAGGCTCCCGAAAGGGCAGTAGAATGTTCCAGGGAAAGTGCACACAGTGGTCCATCGTACGATCCAGACAGACTCTTGACGGCCGGAGGGTGCGGCATGGTCCTGAAGCATCGACACCTATGATTTCCCTTTCGAAGGAATAGACGAGTCGTCCGATTGTTCAAGAGCAAACGCGCCATTTCGCTTCTCTTCCTGTTCATCATCTAAACCCGAGACGACGCTACCATGGCTCTTACACTTCAAACAACGGTTGAGATCGCCCCCGGTATCCATATGCCGCAGCTGGGATTCGGTGTTTATGCATCGCCCAGGTCCATCTGTGAGAGAAGTGTGAAGCACGCTCTACTCCATGCTGGATTCAGGTGAGCACACCATCATATCTCGGTCGCTGCCCGAACCGCACATGTGTCGAAACTGAGCTGCTCTTCTGCCAAAGGCACATCGACTCCGCGTTGTATTATGAGAACGAAGCAGAAGTGGGAGCAGCAATCAAAGCCTCGGAACTGCCTCGAGACCAGATATTCGTCACCACGAAGATACTTGCACCACCCCCGAACGATCCAGAGGGAGAGAAACTGCGGGACTTGCTGAATGAAGCGGTCAGCCGTTTCGGCTTAGGTTCGTAGATCACTCACTGTTTCCATCCCCTTGTCATGCTAATCATAACACATGCCAGATTATGTCGACCTATTCCTGATCCATACCCCAACGTCCGGACCGGAAGGACGAAGAAAGATGTGGGAGGGATTGGAACAGCTGAAACAGAGCGGAAAGACAAGGTCCATCGGCGTCTCGAACTTGTGTGTGCCTCATCATTTTCGATATGGGAATATCAGGTCATGAAATCGTTACCTCGATCTAGCGGAGTCAAGCATCTCCAAGAACTCGCAGCAGTATCCTCGACGAAACCAGCGGTGAATCAGGTAGAGGTATGTGATTTTCTTCTAAGGTTTCAGCCGGCTGCTGAACTTGATTAGCTGCACCCATGGTGTCAGCAAAAGGACATCGTAGATTACTGCAAGCGAAACGGAATTACGGTTCAGGTGAGTCCACTGTCAAATCGAGGGTGTAAGCCCCTGACCACGGACCCAGGCATACTGTCCCTTGACCCGAGGACAGAAGTTCGACGATCCTACATTGATGCGGCTTGTGTATGCCACACTCAAAGATCCAGCGCAGATCCTCCTTCGCTGGAGTCTGCAGAAAGGGTAGGCATGCATTCTCATATGCAGCGCAGTGACTGAGGTCTTCCAGGTTCTCCCCATTACCAAAGTCAGACACGCCATCTCGGATAGATGCAGACGCAGATGTATATGACTTCGAGTTAACCGACGAACAGATGGCTCTACTGGACGGACTTGATCAGGGAGCGAAAGGCGCCATAGACACTAACCCCGTCAACTGTCCTTGAAAGAGCGTCGTCAAGGGATATCGAAAGTAGGGCATAAACCAGTGTGCGTCCCAAGAAAGGCGGAAATTGTTAGTTGTTGGCTATGGGCTTCGTGTGGGCTATAAGAAACCTGTCTTCCTCCAGGACTCTACAAACTTCCCCACAAGATCAACAGATAGAGAAGGCGGATCTCTCAACAATTTGGATGTGCTAGCAGCGATCGAGGTGTCATATACTGGC